TGTTAGACGATCCACGCATGCGTAGGTAACAATGTGTACGTACTTTCTAAAGAACTGCACACGAAAAATCGATTTTAAGCATTTGTAAAACGTGTTTTATGTGCAGTTTGTACAGCACGCATTTGTGATCCTCATGACACACACACACAAATCGCTTGTTACAGACAAAACGTTAAACACGCATTTGTAACATTTTTGAGAGTATTTTATCCCCATACAAAAATGTCAAACCCACCCCTCTGTGCCAAGTTGCCTATTAACGTTAAATTACATTAAAGAAAACACAATCACGGGGTGGCGCACGCCCGTCCCTGCACTCGTTCCCGCTGTGGCGGCACACTCTGGCTAGGTCGTGCTACCCCACTCCGCACTGCCGCGGTTATCTTAACTTGTAACAAAAGTTCGACATAAAAGTTTGTTACATGGAAACATCCTGCCCACACTCACATTACGTAACTCACTATCTACGGCATTGGTTTCACATTGTGTACTGACCTGGAAAACACAGATATATTTAGCAGCAATGAGGACACGAGGCTCTCAGTTCACGTTCCAAATTGTCTCTGAAGCTGAGCGGAAGACCTCACCCATAAGACACACCTGGCGCAACTGCTGCCTGCACAATGGTTCCTACCTCAATGTTGCTTTGGCTTGTGACGCCAATTATTCATTGATATGCAACTTAACCTGGTCCTCCAGTGTACACAATGCATTGCCGTCTTCAAATGAAATACAGAACTGTTATTTAATAATTCAAATGTGGTCATGCCGTTTTTGAGGTGTACCACAAAATGAGAACACTTATTAGTAAAAGTGTAGATGAAAAAGCCTGTGATCAGATGATATTATCAGGATAACATATGCAGACACACACCTCATGTTAATATGTGGTATAAAAGGCAGGATTACAAACTGGGCAATATGGGAACCTGCTGTGGGACTCAGTCTGTGGGCTCTGATAAAGTGATTAATAACAATTTTAATTAAAAGGCCATAAGGCAAGTCCCATATTTGTATTGAATCTTGAGGCTATGTGTCGAAGTTAAAACCCTGTGTCAACTCAGACATGCAGTTGTGTATTTTATTACTGTCGCTTTTGGAAAACTGAAGTTCTGATTGGCCATGATGTGTCGTCATAACACAATCGCTCACCATCGAGTTAGCTGGTACATTCCTGTGACCTTTACATAGCAGTTCTCTGTTATTTTGGACTCAACACATGACAGAGAACATATGAGAGGACAAAGATGTGTTTTAGTTACCAGACTTCTCCATCCTACCTCAAACAGTCCCAGCTGCTTGTTGTCCTTGAGTTTTTGCTGCCTCCTGGAATCTTCACCACAATCTGCTCAAAAGATGAGGCTCCTTTATCTTTTTAAGTGAGAGAAACATGCTGAGAAGTTTTGCTGCTCACAACAAACCACAACCTTCCCCCAAAACAAACTTGTATGCAACATTTCCAAACCAATTAAGGGCATAATTAATGAAACCCACCACCTGTTGTGCCAGAGCAATCACCAGAGAGAGGACAGTGAAAAATGTAGCAATCAGATTAATCAAGCAAAAGACACAGACCAGTTACTCACAAACCATCTAGAGTGTGGCACCAGACTTGGAGAACAGGCGATAGCTTTCATTAAATTAGAGGGAGATCAGTGGCTCGCGCTGTTTCATCATGTGGGACCTTGATGAACTGAGGGCTGGGCATCGTGTCTGCTCCGGGCGCTGTGGGCTTTGGAAAGGCAGCCCATATGCTTCAATGTTTAAGAGGAGAGGAGGAGATGTGATAATGATTCATGAAAATATGAGTGACTCTGCAGCAGCATCACAACAACAACAACATCTGGTCCTGCGCTGGGCCCTTGTGTACACTCAGTGGAGTGGTGGCAGTCCTGCAGGTGAGCACGCACACAACCTGCAGAGTTAGAGGAAGGTGTTGGAGTAAGCAGGTTGGGATGTAATGTGTAGTCAATTCCTTTACTCACCCTGGATATTGGACAGTTGGATGCTGGGAAGCTCTAGCTCACCAGCTACATACAGTATGTTGATAAAAAATAAAAAACAAACTAGAAGCAAATGTTAATTGCAAAAAGCTTAATTATAAAGGTTTCTGGTTTCTTTTAGAAGTTGGATTATTGTCACTTATCAGACTTAACACTTCCACCTGCACAATATTATGTGATAAACTATGATAGATAAACCCTATCAAGAGAGTCTCAAGTCTGAGCAAGCTGTTTCTGAGCCTATTTGATAAGTTTTATGTTTGTGTAAGGAGAGGTATTGGTCTGAAATGTAATATTTGTATTGGAATGGTACAAGACTGGAGGAGTGAAAACAAAGGCTGGACTGAGCGTGCTGGAGCGTGAACGGTGTGCGAAGCATCAGTTGAGCAGAGTGAAGCTTGAGAGGTACTGTCCATGGAGCTGATTAGTCAGGATGTGTGTTAACAGTCGGCTGAATTGAAATGGCTCTGAGAGACTGGGTGTAATAAACCATGATGGTTTCCTGTTGATGCACACACCGCTGTCCAGTAGCCACTCTGCACCTGCTGTAAACTGCACCTTTTTCTAAGGAGTGAGATGAAAATTCATACCCTGTCCAAGTCACCGTAGCCTGACTGGTAGTTATCCTTGTGTAAAATGATAAAATGCAGCATGTTGCAGTAATTAATTGTTTCAAGTACCTAGATCTTTACTTGAACATATATTTGAGTTGCGATACTAACTGGGAAATGTAAAAAGTACATTAGGAAGAAGAATGGCCTCAGTGTTTGCCAGAATTGACAGTTTATCTTACTTCTGGTTTCCAGTTTCTTCATGTGGTGTCCAACCATGCAGATAATTTAAGTGCCAAGGTTATGAGATATTTGTCTCAGAGATTTCTGCTGCCACTTCTATTCAATAGAGAGAAATACAACAGAATTAAAATGTGTCTGTTTGCAGTAGTCTCTTATTTCTATGTAGTGTACATACATAGCAAAGATTCGTTTGGCTCTTTATTCAGTGCAGCGAGTTAGATTGATCTCACACTTTGAGTCATGACTCAACACAGTGACCAAAATAACCAAAGTCAGGCCCCAAGTGGCTTCCATTTGGCTTGGTCTTAGTTTCTTATCATCTGTACTGTACAGATGGGTTCTACATTGCATTCATCCACACCACTTATTCCTGAATAGGGGGGCTGGAGCCAATCCCAGCTGACACTGGGCGAGAGGTGGGGTCCACCTGGACAGTTCGCCAGTCTATCACAAGGCTGACATGTAGACATACAAACACACTTACTCCTACAGGCAATTTAGAGTCACCAGTAAACCTAAGCTGCATGTCTTTGGACTGTGGGAGGAAGCCGGAGTACCCGAAGAGAACCCACACAGACACAGGGAGAACATGCAAACTCCACACAGAAAGGCCCCGGGTCGGCCGGGACTCAAACCTGTAATGTCCTTGCTGTGATGGGATAGTGCTAACCACCGCTGTGCCGCCATCCTACAGTACAGACACATTCAATTGTTTTGTTCTCAAATCTGGCCTAGTTCAGACACCAGAGACAGACAGTCCCATTATAAGGAGTTGCTAATTGTGAACGACATTTGGAAATGAGACTAATTATCTTTTCTTTAACAGCTCAACTGAAATAGGAACAAACATCATTAAATCATCAATGTCCCACTGTCATTATGAAAGTCAGGTTGATGCCAAGAGTTGTCATTAGAAAACAAGCAGCCATTTGAAGTCCAGAGTTTCCTGGCTATGGAAATATGACACCAACCACCGACACAGTACGTATCAAGCTCAGGGAAAACTTCCCTGTGCTTTAGGAATGTTTTCAAATAATACCATTTAAACATCATAAATGATGAAGTTGGCTCTGAGCAAAGGCACCAAGCGCTTTACAAGTTTTCCGTAGTCCAACAATACAATTTCCAAATCAATATTTCATTAACTGGATAGAGGTGCAATGTTGCTTGTTAAATAAAAAGTTTGGCTTAGCACAGAGTTAACGTTTAGCTATAGTGGATTTCCAGCAGGTAGGTGGGTTCTTATGTTCAACCTGGCCTTCACTCACGTACACACACAGTCTGTTCCCATCAGTCCAGAGGACATAACTTTTAGTTCCATTTATCTCCTGGAGGCTTACCCTAACCTTAACCCAAGCCTTCAAATTTAATGATTTACATATTGGAAAAATGCCTTTTGTCCCCAGAAGGAAAGTGAGTCCCAACAGTGGACTGTATAAACAGGTTAATGTCCCCACAACACGAGCCATACAAGTACACACACAGATACATGTATACACATGCTCTGTAGAGATATTCTCTACACTCAGTATACAATCTGAGACACACACACACACGCCTGGTCCTCCCTTGATTGTTTCTGTGTTTATGGCCCATTTTATGACTGGAGAGCCTCTGATCTAAAGCATCGCAGGGCATCAAGTGACTTTCCCTGCAGCAACAGCGAGAAACAAACATGAACTCCTCTGACTCTGGCTCTAATTCAAGTGACAGAGAAGGTGCAGCTGTGGCACTAGCAACGCTGTAAATACAAAGTGAAATTCAAGGCAGAATTAGCTCACAGAGGGACTGCATGCTTCACATTTAAATGAATGAAGGTGGATTCAGACCAATTTATGACCAGTGAGAATATTTAACTCTGACTGGCTAGAGGAGGGGATTCATTTTAGCATAACCACCCAGCCCTGAGACCTCATCAGTGTTAACACTTTATATTCAGTGCTGGAAAGTTCCTTGTTTCAGCTGATCCTCACTCACTTGTGGGACTAATGTTTTAAGGTTGATAGTGTCAAAGCTAATTTTATCATTTATGACTGTATTGCCTCAAATATAGTTTGATTTGATCATGGACAGGCTGAAATTGCACAAGTGAGATAATCCAGTTTGAAGTGCCCTTTGGTCTGAGGCCGTGCCTTTGAAGACCTGCTGTCACCTACACAATTTTGTTAAAGTAGATTTCAGTGAAGGTTCTAGGCGTGGTCCCTTCACACTGCACATTTATCTGTTAACAACACTTCAGGAAAAGGTGCTGCACAGAATAGTTGACATATGGATTATTATTTGTGTTTTTGAAGCTAAGAGTCAAAGGAGTCAGTGTTGCTGTGTTCTTAGACAAGTATGGTTAAATAAATGATGACTAATGTTGACAGTTTTATTTTCTTTTAACAACAATCATATTAATTATAGTTATTTTCCCCCAGTGTATTAGTTTTAAATTTCACTATGGAGCGTCTGTATTATTACACCCTAAATTACCTGACTCAAACTATCCCAAATTGTAACATAAAAAGTACAATGATCATCACCAAGAGGCATATATAGCATCATGCATTCAAATTACTTGGAGAGTTTTTTGAAAGAAGACAATTCTAAAGGACACGGGCAGTATTTTCAAACATGTGGTAAAAATTGAGACTTTTATTAATATCAAATTGCAGCACATATTTCTAGGTCCTAATCAGGACTCAAAGGAAGAGAAAACACCTCAGTGTTGTGCATTCATTCATTCAATAGAGATGACAGTTGGATGATGATGAGTGTCGATGTCATTCAAAAGTTTCCCCATAGTGTGAATTTTGACTTTACAGGTGCATGTTCACAAATTAGCT